GCCTGTAATCCCAGCTACTCAGGAGGCTGAGGCAGGAGAATTGCCTGAACCCAGGAGGCGGAGGTTGCGGTGAGCCGAGGTCATGCGACTGCACTCCAGCCTGGGTAACAAGAGCAAAACTCTGTCTCAAAATAAATAAACAAACAAACAAACAAATAAATAAATAAATAAATAAATAAAGGCACCTTTTAAATGGGAATATCTATGAAACAGATTTACCTTCAAGAGAATCTAGGCTAGCCTTTCCCATAAAGTGGTTATGTAGATTCTATTATTTTTTAAACTCCTTTTATAGTAAAACCCCAAGTAGATTATCAATGTGTAGAAAAAGTAGCTTTGCATAACCCATAGAACTCCATTGAACATAAATAAATTGTGCTTAAGTTCTAGAGGCACTGCAGAAAATGAAGAGACTTCAGATCCCAGCCTAGGTCCTTTCCTCCATTCTTACAAGCCCTGTGGCTTTCTTAGCTTCAATTTCTGAGCTTTAATTTCTTCTTCTATAAAATGGAGATAATATAACTTGTCTCCCAGTGCTGCTTTGAGGATCATAGATAATATATACAAAATTCTCAGCACAAAATTTTGCATATAGTAGTTGTTCAATAAGTGAGAGCTATTGTAATTATCTCCTCGTGACTTTGCTAAGTAACCTATATTAATGGGTAATAAAAAAAAGGCTGAATGTCTCTTTAAAACATTATATTTAATTTCATTTATTTGCACTTACACTGCTGATAGAGAAAGGATGGAAATCAGCTATGTCTTAGTAGATTATTACTTTGAAATCTAAATAAGAATCAGTAGGGTTGAACATATTTCTTATATATAAAGAAGAAAGCCTTGCTTTTAGAATTGAATGCAATTGGTTTTCTGAATAAAAATTATTATACTCAGTTTACCACAGAAATTCATAGTAGAAATAAGTCCCCCCTGCTGCCTCTCTGAAATGAAAAGAGAAACACCAAGTGAGAATAAGTAATCCAAACACAGCATGCAGAAGCTATTTTATTACAAGTGTTAAAAGCAGGGTTATGCAATCTCCTGGGCACACAGAAGTTAGATAAAAAGCAGGTAAGAGAAAGTAAATAAAAATGTTCCACTAGCAGCTGCCCCAAAATAAGGCAGCAGTACCAATACTATAGATTGTTTGTTCATGTACTTGACAACAAGTGGCATTTTGCATCCAACTTCCCTCCTTTTCAGCTCACAGCATCTTAAGCATCCTTTGCATATTTGAGGGAAGTAGAGTTTGGGACCAGAGAATCACAGCAAGATTATCAGAATTGAAAAGAACTTTACAGATAATTTGTCAATCCCCCTCATTTTACTGATGTGAAAACTGAAGTCCAGAGATGAATAACTGAGAAGAAATTGCCGAATATAAGAACAAGGAGGAATTCAAGTCCAGCTCAACTCTTATTGCCCTCTTTGCACTTTAACTTTCATAGGGAATTGCTCAGAATCGGCCCTCAAATGGAGTCAAATGATGAACCATAAACAATTGTTATATTTAATACATATTATAAAATACTTTACTGACTAGTCAGGCCATAAATTATAAGGCTACTGTCAAGTACATTTAAAAAGCAAATCTGAAATATTAATATCTTAGTCAAAATACATTTGTCAGCACTATAAAAGCCTCAGAGACTAAAAGCAATTAGTTCTGCTTTAGGATTTACAGTGATTCAGAAGATTCAAAATGGGTAACATATTTTTAAGGTAGCTGGCAATTTTGCCCACAACACAGTCTCAGCTGTCTGGGTGACTACAAAAGGAAATGATACCAATCTACAACATCCATCTCTCTACTCTCAGAATATCTATAGTACTTATTATCTACTCCGTTGGTTCTTAACTTTTTTCGAGTTAGAATCTCTTAGAGAAAGATGACAGCTATAGACAGTCTTCCCAAGAAAATGTACATGCTATCATAAAACTTTTTCACACAATTTCAGAGCATTTAGCAAGTCCACAGTGGGATCAAGAATTGCTGTTCTACAATTAGAACACATGGGCACAGGGAGGGGAACATCACACACTGGGGCCTGTTGGGCGGATGGGGGGGCAAGAGGAAGGATAGCAATAGGAGAAATACCTAATGTAGATGACGGGTTAATGAGTACAGCAAACCACCAGGACACATGTATACCTATGTAACAAACCTGCACGTTCTGCACATGTATCCCAGAACTCAAAGCATAGTTTAAAAAAAATTGCTGTTCTAGCATTCATCTCAGTTAATATGTGCTTTCTTGTATTGTTATTTATTCCCACCCATGTGTATCCTAGATTCACTAGATCCAAAGCTGCTCAAAGTTGGGGATGGATCTTATAACCCTCTGTGTATCCATAGCCTAGGTGCATTGTTTATTAAATTTTAATAAAAGTTCGCTTATTTTGTGCCCACTACAGGCCCAGTGCCATTCAAGGAAATGAGGATTCAAAGATTATAAATATAAAAGCCATTCTTCAAGAACTCACAGTCCAATGAAAGAGATAAATAAGTAAACATGATTACAATGGTGGGTTTGGGGATGCTACAGATGTTTAAAAATGGGGAAAAGAAGACAGAATAGAAACTGGTGGGAACTGATACTCTCAAATTCCTAGGTTTGGAGGGGATGATACTCTCAAATTCCTAGGTCAGGAGATTAGGAAGATGGAAAACTTGCTCTAAATGAAGCATGCTTGAGTTAAGTCCAACAACAACAAAATGAGTTATGAGTTACCCAAAAGAGAGGTAAAACTGTAAAGAAGCAAAAAAAGAGAAAGCAAGATAGAGAGAGCAACCAGGTGTGTGTCAGAGAGTGAGAGAGAACTTGGACCGGAAAAGCATCCTTTATTTTTCTACTATTGTTTCATCCCTATAGTTAATCTAACCCTAATCCCTAACACCTTGTGTAAATATTGCTCCAAAGACATTAGTCAGAATGATCACACGAATCGAATTGTGTCAGCATAGTTTTCTTATATACTATAACAAAGGTATTTTTGCATTTATAAAGGTGACAAGTGTTACTCAAGATTCAGCTCAACTTATTTATGGAAGACACCTCTGAATCCATATGTCATTCTCATGTTCTATACTCCAAGAAAAAGGTCTGGACTGAACATATTCCACATAAATGAACCAGGATTAATCACAGCCAGATGGTATGAGTCAAGTTAAATCTTATTATTATTATTATTTTGGTAGACTGAAGGGAATTTAAGTGTTTGTTTTTCTTGGGTATTAAACTATTGATAACGGTACCATTAACTTTGATTATAGTTAGGGATTCCTTTCAGTTAAAGAAAATTAGTCAGCATAATAGTTACCTTGTTACCAGAGATTACATAAGGTAGATTTAGAACAAACATAACTTGATTAGAGTAGGAAACAAAAACACTTTTAGAGCTATTACCTCAAATATTTCCAAAGGTTATGGGAAAAGGGATAACAATTTATAATTTATTTCCTCATACTTAAAAGCATGTTTAAAACTTTACAATTTAATAAGCACTTCCATTTCATCTTCACAACACCTTTATAAGGTTGTCAGATCAGTTATGCATTACAGATGAGTAAGCTTTGCATGAGAGGCTATGTAACTTGTCCCAACTCACAGACTTAAGAGAAACTGGGATTAGAAATGGATTTGACTCATAATCCAGTGCTCTTCCCTTTATTATGCTGGTACAACTACACTTCCTTTATTATCCTTTAAACTGTAGTGATAAGGAGGTCTTTTAGTCATCTCTGTTGATGAAATGACCTATCGGTGCCCCTCCTCAAGGGTTCATATTTTATTCTTGGCCAGTCCAGCACATGATACAATGTTAACAATATTCTCAGTGGGGCTTACATAATTGTTTTACCAAATGTCTTTCTATAATTTAGTGTCACCAACGAGTTAAACAAAAAGAGCTTGGACGTGAATTATCAAACAATTATTATTACTCGCATTTTATTATTTTGCCAAGTTTCATTTAATGGCAATATACCAAGCTATTCTATTTTCCATAATACCAATTCCTTAAAGAAGAGGAATTACAGTAACATTTCCGTTGTGGAAAACAATTTCATCCTTCAATTCAGGGCTTCACACAGCTTGGTTCTAAACCCGCACGTCATTTCTTAAGTGGAAACACAGGTGCAACTGATGAATTTTATAGCTTTAGGAAGCCGTTAAATCCTATTATTAAGCAAGCAATCATCTTAGTTTGGAGGCTTGGTGTTAAGCACTTTACCTGCTTACCAGTCACCTCCACCCAGGAAAAGAAGTGCAGTTCAACAAAAGCTATCTGGCCTCGTACTGCGATCAAAACCTACACCTACACCCTAAACCTCTGGCAAACTCCTGTCGCCTTGCCTCTGTTCCCGCACACTTCCCCAACAATTTCAAAGAGGACGAATTCACTAAAGGACAGGTGACAGAAGCTCTCAAAGAGAGAGGACTCGCGCTCTAAATTTCAAACCAGTGCGGCGACTCCCGTGACCATTAGCTAAAGCAGTCCCACCTTCCCTGATTCTAGGATGGCAGCGACTCCCAAGAAAACAAACAAAAAACAGAAAGACTAAAACCAAGCTGCTGGAGCCCACCAATCTGTGCCAGCGCTCTCACTCCTCCACAGCTAGACAAACAAGGTCACTAATAGGCACCTCCCAGGGTCCCAACCTCTGCCCTCCCCCGTTTCCGAATGCCCTAAGAGCAGCTTTTCAAACAGAGGAGGATACTCCCCATATTCGACATGGTCCCACGACGTTTCTCGGGAGGCGAGCGCACCGGGCAGCAGCACGAGCGGGATAGGAAGGCGCCCGGAGTCCAGCGCTAGTCCAGAACAGACGACAAGCGCAGCCACTAGGTTTGCAATCCCATTTCCTGTTTCGGCTCCTGGTCCGAGGGGGCGGGGCCGGGTGCCACCGACGGGCGGGGCTGGTGCAACTTCAAAATGGCTGCTGCAGGAAGCGGCAGTTAGGACCGGCTCCAGTCGCTTGGGGGCGTTAGCGGTACTCGAGGGCAAGAGGTTACGCGCCGTCCCTCCCATCTTGAGTCCTTCGCCTGCACCCAGTCTAACCTGACGCCTAAAGGTTTCGTCCCCCAGCCAACCTTCTAGTTCTTTCTTTTATCCTGCTCTAGAGTCTTCTTAACCTCCCGCCTCACCTCTTCCCTCAGATTTCGCTCTATCCTTGCCAGCTCACCATTGTCTCCGAGCTTAAGCCATAACGGATGAAGGAAAAAGGTATAGGGCTTTTAACGTATTTCTCAAAAATTTATAGTCGTATAAAATAAGGGCTGAAGGGAGTAGCGCGGGTGGTAAATTTGAGTTGTGAAGTTCACTGACGGTGTTAAAAAGGATCGTGATCCTTAAAGTTTAGGCTAGACTAATAGATGAAATTTATGTGAAATATATATTCGCACGAACCGTTTTTTTTTTCATAGATGATATACAAAAATTACTACAAAGTCTGTAATGGGCGAGGAGGTTAATTTAAATACTAGATAGTGGTTGGCGTTTATATGTGACTTTAAAATGTTCCAAAGTTATTAGACCCTATGGATTTATGGAAAAGAAGGGCATCCTGGAAATTGTTTCTTCATTTCAATTCAAAACCCTTGGAAATTCCAAGGAAGAACTGAGATTTTGTTTTGGGGAAAATAATTAGTATGTTATCTTACTAAGAAATTTAACAAGTTTGACGAAATGTTATTCCATCTTTAATATTTCAATGTATCGGGGAGATAAGCCTGTAATGGGATATGCTTCTTTTTATCTTTTTTTTAACCAAAAATGGATCTAAAAGATACTCTTTTACTCTTTTTTTTTTTTTTCTTGAGACGGAGTTTCGCTCTTGTTACCCAGGCTGGAGTGCAATGGCGCGATCTCGGCTCACCTCAACCTCCGCCTCCTGGGTTCAGGCAATTCTCCTGCCTCAGCGTCCTGAGCAGCTGGGATTACAGGCAGGCACCACCGTGCCCAGTTAATTTTTTGTATTTTTAGTAGAGACAGGGTTTCACCATGTTGACCGGGATGGTCTCCATCTCTTGACCTCGTGATCCACCCGCCTCAGCCTCCCATGTAATTGGTGGTAGGCTTCAGGCTGTTACCCTAATTGCAAGCCCTCGATGCTGGAAAAACAAGCCTGGTTTTTTTTTTATTTTATTTTAGTTTTAGTTTTAGTTTTTGAGATATCACTCAGTCACCCAGTCTGGGGTGCAGTGGTGCCGTGAACTTGGCTAACGGCAACTTCCACCTCCTGGTTTCAGGTGATTCTTCTGCCTCAGCCTCCCGAGTAGCTGGGACTAAAGGCGCATGCCACCATGCCCGGCTAATTTTTTTTTTTTTTTTTACATTTTTGGTAGAGAAGGGGTTTCACCATCTTGGCCAGGCTAGTCTCAAACTCCTGACCTGGTGATCCACCCACCTAGGCATCCCAAAGTGCTGGGATTATAGGCATGAGCCACTGTGCCCAGCCAACAAGCCTTTTAAAATACGAGGTTCTAGGAAAGTACAACCTGGAAACCACTTCAGAAGGTGAAACTGTATAAAGATTGCTTTATTTTTGATGTCCCTATGTATTTGAGAATTAAGACTTACTTTATTTACAGAAAGAGATAAAACTTAGCAGATTTCATTGTTGTTTGATCAGTTTCTATACTAAACAATTTATTTCACTTTTGGAGAATTTCTTTTGGTAGAAAGATAAAAATCATTAAAAAAAAAAAGACTTTCCCTAGACACTTAATAGTTTTTCACACAGCTATTTCAAAACATTCATGTATAGATCAGAACAATCTGCTAAAACTAAACCATTTTCTAGTTTCATATAAAGATTAAATTCCTAGAGTTATATGTAGCTAAGCTCTAAGAATAAGCCTTTTAAAACAGTGTTTTGAAGAATGTTTTGTAGAATTTCTTAAGGAAAAGATCTTTAGGATAGGATCAGTTTTTTAGTAAAGTTAAGCTCTGAAGATATTTGTTTAGGGTATTTGTTGTTGATGTCCACCTTAACTAAAAAAAGAATCACAGCCTATGCGAACCACTTAGAAAATTAAGAAGTGGTTTTTATTTTTGTGAGTTATGAAGTAAATTTGACTCCAAAAATTTCCCTCATATTTTTTCTTGAATATCTGATTTCTTAAAGTGAGGTTTATATTTTTATTAAAACTTAGGCACAGGAATAGCATTATTTATTTAAAGTACATGTGTGTTCAGTTATAACTGCTGTTGTTAAAAGCAACAAACAAATCTATTAAAATAATAAAGCTGTTTATTATAGAGAAAATATAAAAAGGAAAGAAAATATAACATTTTAGTTGTATATTAAATATTAAATGCCTATAAAATATTTATAAAGTATGTATACAAAATAAAAGCAATACAACAAATATATACTTGTGAACTATCACCAAGTTTAAGCAAAAGGTTATTATATCCCTTAAATTCCCTGTGTACTCCTTTCCAATCAAATTTCTTTTCTTTGTTTTTTGGAGGCAGCTGCTGTCTAGAATTTATGTATAATTTTCTGTTTTATAGCTTTATCATAGTATTTGCATCTCTAACCAACATATTTTTTAGTGCTGCATGTTTTTGAACTTCATGTAAATGAAATGATACTGCTTTTCTTCTGTGAATTTTGTAACTGATAATATTCCTCAACAAGGTTATTGTACATAGGTATGGCTCGCTTATTCATTTTTATAGTTCTCGAGTTTTCCACCTTGTGAATATATTGTAATTTATCTGTTCTGATGGTGGACACTTGAGTTGTTTCAAGGTTAAGAATGTATTAGTGTTAATTTAACATGTACTCTGATTAAACACAATATCAGTGACTTATTTTGGTCCTCTAAATATGTTAGGATAAAATCTGGATATGCTTATTTTATCATAGTAATGATTAAGGTTACCTTTTAAAAAGTGAAATGTTATTTTTAAAAATATATGTTTCCTCTTTCACTGTAGGCACAATTATTCATTCAGTTTTCTTGTTTTGGATTATCTTAGATCTTAGCTTTGTTTCTTCCTGTCTACCAGATTTAGCAATACCTTCTACCTTGTTTCACCTAAATAGGCAGCTACCTTTTTCTCCTTTCACCCTTAGAACAGGGCTCCAATAATAGAGACAATAGGTGTAGGGTCTCCTAAATTGTTCTTTTGGGACCTAATTAACTCTAATTATGACAGCTTAACAAAGGTAACGTCGGTCACATATTGATAAATCAAATATGGTGGATACTTAGAAGGTTGTGAATTTGACTGGGATAATTGAAATGTAAAGAACCAATATACTATCTTAACTCAGCAGCTAATGAATATGTAAAAATTTGACATGAGCAAAGCTAATGTGGAAAATTATAATTTCTTAGTAAATTGAGTAATTTATGATTAATTATGCTTAGTTCTCTAAATGTTTTGAATGCAGCGTGTTACAGAGAACAGACTTTGTTTTTTTAAGTTAAAAACATTTATAGCACGATTGCAGTCAAGACTCTAAGCCACTTAATTTTTAATATTTAATTATGATTGTTTTGTGTTAAACATTTTTGTCATCTTCTAAGAATTATTTTTAAGATGATCAGAAAATCAAATGGTAATGGCAGTTAAACTCCCATTTAAGTGAAAAGAGTTCACTAAAAATGAAGAGAGCATAGTATATAATGTTTCTCAAACTTTGATGTCCTTATTAAAAATGCAGATGACTGGGCTTTACTTCTGTAGATTCTGATAAAGTAAACTTGGAGTGAGATCCAGGAGTCTATATTTTGCTTCTGTGTGCATAATGGAAATAAGTATTATAGAATTCTATAAATCCTTTATTGCATAAAGTAGCTTAACTGGGATGAAACTTAATAGTTTACAGAATGCCTTATATACATCATTTCATTTGATACCTAAAGTAATCTAAGGTAACCTAGCCAGGCATTGTCATCCTTTATTTTTAACCAATTAAAAAAAAATCAAAGCGAGGTTGTGGTTTGTGTATATAAAAAATATCCCCAAACAAGCGCAGTAACAACACCAACAACAAAAACAGAGGCTCAGAGAGATTATTTGGTTTGCCTAGGTATTGAACCTAGGTCTTCTTGATTCCCAGTTCCATACTTTTGAATGTGTGTAGCAGATAGACAAGGCAGAAACACAAATAAGACCACTTCTGTTGCTTGCTTTCTATAGCTCAGGTGCCCATTTAGTATAGAAGTAAAATGAGGAATTATTCCAGCTGACTGGCAACCTTTCTACTTTGTATAAGAAGAAATAGATGCAGTTTCCTAAAAATTTGAGAGAGGTGTAAAATGAGGGGGTCTTTCCTACTTAGAAAAACTTGTTTCCCCTGGGCAGGCAGAGTGCACTTTGCTGGTTTCATATTTCTGGCGTTTTAGATTTAATTTGAACATGAGCCTAGCCTAGAACTCTTCAAGTGACAGGTAAAAGAGGTTAGAGCTATGGAAGAGATAAAGTACTATTAGCTAAGGCAAATAGATGATATGGTAGGAAATAGAAGCTTAAAGACAAGAGGAGTGGGTTTGAATGGTTGTCACAGGTGACCTGAAAAACTATCCAATGTATAATTTGGAAGTACCAGATAAACATAAGGAGACAAGATGAAAAGCTGAATGTAGGATTCAAACAAATAGAATAAAATGAAAAAAAAAGTCTTGGAAAATTAGAAAAAAAATAAATCTACATGTTTACCATTTCTCAAAGTGCTAATATTTGATTTTTATTTTAATAATAAATGTCATGTTTGGTGATTATAATATATAGTTATCAGAATAAAAAAATATATAGAGTTATAAGAAAGATTGTATCTCTGAAAATCTTTGATTTTAATAGAGTATCCAATACTTATAATTTCTCTTTGACTGGAAACCTTTTCAAAACTTGAATAATAAAAATGAAGTTTTATTAGTACTCTAGTTGATTGATTATTAAAAGATGATTTGGTAAAAAATAAAACATTCGCTATTATTACAGAAACTTTAGGGATAATTCAAAATTAGGTTTGAGAATTATAGGATTCAAAAATTCTTTAATGTAAGCATAGTGCTCAGAAAACTCACTTTTAGTAAACATTTTCCTTATCTCTATGAATTTACTATCGAAAACTGTTTGAAAAAACTCTTAAGGAAAGAAAAAGCAAAAGTAAGGGACTTATCAGAAGGACAGGTGAGGGCAAGGTTAAAACGAACAAAAAAAAATAGCTCTCTTAAAGGACTATGTTATTCTGCACTCCTGTATCTCATTTTGCTGACCATAGAGCCTACACATTTAATTTTAGAAATGGCTTTTATTTACTATTACTTTCTTACTACTCTTCGTCCTGGATTGTTCTTAAGTTTATGTGGTAATTGGTTAGAACAAAGTGTAGCATGCTTTGTAATTTCTCTGTTTTATTACCCACATTCTATGATTTTTTAATATTTTTTCTAAAACTTGCTATAGTGTGTACCAAAACTCTTACCTCCAGATCATAGTTTCTCAACCAGCACTGTAGACATTTTGGGCTGGACAATGTTTTGAGACTATCATGTGCAATGTAATACTTAGCAGTATCTCTGTCTTCTACTCACCAAATGCCAATAGCACCTTCTTTCCCAAGTTTTGACAGCCAAAACGTCTCCAGACATTGCCAAATATCCTCTGGAGAACAGAATCACCCCCATTTAAACAATATCTAGCCATGGAATTATCTAATGCTGCTTTTATATTAAACCAACAGACAAATGACGACAATAGCAACAGAAATATTTTCAGCCCACTCTTTTTCAGGATTAGCCATAACATCATCATTCCTAGCTTTTGAACCAGTTTTATAAAATTGGTAAAATAAGAATCCCAGACTTTGAAGTCATTGTAAAATTTTTCACTTTGGAGGCAGTGGAAATAACAGGGCATTTGGAATCATTTTTGTCTGTGCACATTTGTAAAAAACTCTGTAAGGTATTTACCAGAAGTGGGATTACTGAGACATAGGGTAGGAATAGCTATTTTACTATAAATTAAAGAAAATACTATTTTATATTTTAAAAGATTTTATATATTGCAAATAATGATTCAGAAAGGAGTTAAATTAGCATGCATGTTATGGAAGAGCTGGTTTTTATTTGGGATTTATGCCTTTAAAGTCAGATGTGACTGCTTATTTCAAGAACAGTTCAGTGAAATATTGACTGCCTACCATGTTCTCAGCATTGCACCTCTGACATATCAGGAACAGAATACTGAGCTGGATAGACTATGGGTCTGATCCCAAATGGCTTTTGTTATATTCTTGTTCAGTCAAAAGGAAATATTATCTACAGGATAAGAAGAGTGTATCAGGCAAAAGTTCATAAAGCATACCGGGTTAAATTCCTATCTGTTTTGCATCGCTAGCTCTGCCCTAGAAGGTTTGTAATATGCTTTCATCCTCTCTGAACCTCAGAATTGTAAAGACCATTGTTTGTCAGTTGTAGCTGAGGTATACTGAAAATAATTCTTTTCTTAAAGTGGGTATCGGGTAAGGCATGTGAAGATATATAGATGAAAAATATATATCATTTAACCTACCATGAAACTAAAATAAGAGAGACATTCCATTAAAAGACAAATTCAAAATAAGAATTTATAAAAAAAGGAAATATAAGAAGCCAATCTCATAGGTACCCTTGGCCTTAGATGACAGAAACATATTGAAATGATACTTATCAGATTTTTCACAGAACTTTTCATTAAGATGTTCACTTCCACCACTACATGTCTCAAATTCCATATTTGGCCCCAAAACCATACAATTTTGTTTCACAAATAATTGTGTGTCTAAGTTGCCTGAAAACAAAACAGTGAGAGTCTATGGTAACTGAGTTCACCTGGCCCATTTCTAAGTCAGGTCCTAAACTGAAGCTTAATAAGAATGATGTAATGATCCAGACTATACAGAAATTAATCAGTTTTTATTTCCTTTTTATTTAGATTAATTATTTGTGAAAAGAAATTATCCAATACTTCTCATCTATCTAACTGGAGTTACACCAGGTGGAGGTAAGATACCAAGGTTGGGGAGACATAAATTTATAAATTGCAGAAAAATGAGGGATTATTTAACTTGTTTAAGACTATACATCAGATTAGTGTGTATTAAGCCTTTCATTTTTTATTTCACCTTTCAGATAACCTATAATTCAAGATGTATTTATGAATAGGGTAGAAAAGAGTATCCTGAAAACTCTCTTTGACAATTACATTAATAAATAATTATTTCAATAAGCAGTTCAGATTTGTAGACAGAGAAAATATGTACATGTATTTGGCAAGCACATCTTCTTTTATATGATTTCTGCTTTTTTTGTCTTTTGTTTTTCTGTTAGTTTCTCCTTTCTTAGTGGTCTATTTTTAATTCTTGTTTTTTTAATATATTACCATATTCATCCTCACTATAATTCTCTGGATACAGTTAAGTCAACTTTATAAAGGAAACTCTAGTTCAAACTGTTTTCTATACTTTAGACCCAGAATTGGGTCTATAGGAATTCATAGAATGCAGTGCAATTAAGATAAATATTTAGTTAATAGTCTCATATTATATAAAGGGAGCTCATTCCAGGTACAGGAGTGCATTAATGCTATTAAATATGTAGTATACGCCCCATGTTTCTTGATATTTACTAGAAGCCTATTAACTTCTGACAAGGTCCCATCTAAAAATTTGAGGTGCCATCTAAAAATTTGAACGTTCAGAGTGGTACAATCACTGTGGCATCCCCTAGTAAACAACTTTGATTAAAACATAAATTGTCAATTATATTTTAATATGTGTGCCTTATTTAATTAGTTTATAACTTTCTTTAGGACCAGGTCATTTTATTTCTTATATGACTTTGGACACCTGGAACTAACAGAACTCCTTGCAAATAGTTTAAACTTTGTATACTCTTAATGTTTTTTGTTTTTAATTAGTCACCTTTTATTTTAGGTTCAGAGGGTACATGTACAGATTTGTTACATGGGTAAATTGCAAGTTACTGAGGTTTGCTATACAAATTATTTTGTTACCTGGTAGAGTGAACATAGTACCCAGTAGGTACTTTTTTTTAATCTCACCCTCCTTCCACCCTCCACCATCAAGAAGATCCTATTATCTGTTCTCCTCTGAATCAATGGGTACTCAAGGTTTAGTTCACACTTATGGGTGAGAAAATTTAGTATTTGGTTTTCTTTTCCTGAATTAATACTTTTAGGATTATAGCATCAAGATGTATCCATGTTACTGCAAAGGACATGATTTTGTTCTTTCTTATGGCTGTGTAGCATACCATGGTGTATATGTACCACATTTTCTTTAACTAGTCCACCATTGATGGTTACCTGAGTTGATTCTATGTCTTTGCTATTGTGAATACTGTTGTAGTGAACAGAGGAGTACATATGTCATTTTGGTAGAACCATTTATATTTATTTGGGTATATACCCAGTCATGAGATTGCTGGGTCAAATGGTAGTTCTGTGTTAAATTAAAGTGTTTTGAGAAATGTTCAAACTGCTTTCCACAGTGGCTGAACTAATTTACATTCCCACCAGCAGTATATAACCATTCCCTTTTCTCTACAAACTCACCTAACATCTGTTATTTTTTGCTTTTTAATAATAGCCATACTGACTGGTGTGAGATGGTATATCTTACGGTTTTGATTTGCATTTCTCTGGTAATTAATGAAGATGAGCATTTTTCTTACTCTTGTTGACCATATATGTGTCTTCTTTTTCTCCTGATAACACTTTAGTTTAATTGTCACAAGGTTATTAAACTTCAATAACTTTGGTATTCATGGATCATAGCAGAACTTATAGTGCTTTGTAACTTTCCACAAGTAGCACTCCTCTAGGTTAAGCACACATTTCAAAAAGAAGTTTCAGAAATAGTTTCTTAAATAATGTTAAGAATGGAAATGTTGTATTCTCAATTAAATATTATTACTTGTTTTCTTAAGAAACCCCTTCCCAAGCAAAAGATTAATTTAGATACCTTCAAGCCTGTGAACACTAAGTTTAACCCAAGTTAATTTCCAGTGCTTTTGTTCATAGTGCAAACTCACTCAATGTCAGTGACTCTTACATTTGCTCTTATTCTTAGAAGATCTAGGTCTTTACCTGTAACCCTAGAATAAAGAAGACTCACTTTAAAAAAACAGAACTGCTCTCAATAAAATAATGTTTGTTTATAATGAGTGCTAGTACTCAGATATAGTGACAGTGTAAGAAAATAGTGTGGATGCTGGCACATCTGCTGGGGGGCTCTTGGCCAGCAAGAGGGTCCCAACCTGGAAAGGGGGGTATGCGGAAGAGAAGAAGAAAGAACAGACGAGGTCTGGAGGGTTGAGAAGTCAGATGCTTCACCAACAGCTTTATTGAACTCAGGGTCTGGTTATATACATTATGAGTAGAAGTGTTTATGTCATGGGATCAGTGTTTTGTGAGATTAAAGGGGAACAGAAAGTTTTACAATACAATCACAAGTCACCATATTTTGGATAAATATGCTGGGAACAGGGAGATACATAATCAGGTTAAAGCAGGGGGTGCAATTATCAGTCACAAGAGTCCAGGTGCAATATCTAAGTTTAGAAGTTTAAAAGAAATTATTTATCTAGGGCAGGAGTTTCACAAGAGAAATCACAGGCTACATTATAAATCATTAAATCACAAGCAGTATTGTAAATACCACATCAAGGGTCCAGGTGCAGGAAAGACATAAACAAAGCAATTTTTACTATCAGCTTGCTTTGAAGATTTAAGTCGTAACTTTAAGAAAAAACTATAATGAATAGAGAACCAAAAGTGGACACCGTGAGAACCAAAAGGGGACACCGTGCCTCCCATCACCTCAGCACAATAGAGTAATAACTCATGTTATTTTTTTGTATATCACATAAGCTTTCTTGCAGTCCTCCTTCCCCATAGCTCGACTACCCCCAACAGGGGGCTCGTGTCCGGGATCAAGCTCAACCATATGGTGTGACCCACTACTGGGGGTCTCACATGGGAGCATTCCCACAGTTCCCCCTTTTTTTATTTTCAAATGCAACTCAAGAAGTTTGAGGCGCATTTTTTGGAGTTAGGAGAACACAAGGCGAAAGAGCACTGGAAGAAAGATTATGAGAAGGAGTACAATGACTCCAATGCCAATCAAGGAGAGAGATGGAAGGTGAAGTCCATGTGACCAGGAAAGTATAGCATTAACTATATCTTTTGCCACAGAAGAATTGTCAAGTAACTCTTTACGGGAGAAGTCAACAGCATTAATTTCTTGTTGTAATTTAAAAACATCCAGAGACAGGTCTAAGTAAAGGGGGTCAGGTACATATGCCCATAGTGTCTGGGAAGGTGGTGGCAAAGGAAAGGATAGAGCAGTAGGTACTTGACAGGACAAAATAGCCATTATAGCAACAAACATAATAATAGGAGTACGAGGAGAGTGCTGTCGATCAACCAGTCGAGCAGCTTCAGCACTGAGTCTTCTCAGTTATGCCCACGTCGGAAGATCGCAGCATCAGAAGGCAATCATCGTTCATCTGGTTCTCCATCTGCGGCGTGATGGTGGAGTTGTCAGGTACATTCACCGAAAGCGAGGAATCAGGGTGTTTGATCCGTCCATTGACAGGAAATCCATGCTTGACCAGTCATTCTGGAACCCACACAGGGGCGTCAGTGGACCTAGGAAAGACACAAACATGTCCTCGTCCCCAGATGAGGACTGGATCAGGCCCATTCCGTTTGTTAATGAGGACATCTTTCCATAGTACCCCTGGGTAAGCAGAGGCTTTCGAGTGCCAAAAGCGGTCAGCTGCTGAACGACCTTCAGAGTCAAGAGTTAAAAAATTAAGAACATACAAGGCATGTTTAAGCCAATTATGAGGCATCTTGTGCAATTCAATGCCAAGTTCTCCTTTGCGTAGTTTTTGTAAGGTTATTTTGATAATTGCATGAGTACGTTCAACAATTCCTTGACCTTGTAGGTTATAAGGGAATGCCTGTACGGTGCTGGATCTCAAATTGTGAACAAAAGGAAGAAAAACCTTTGCTAACATAGGCAGGACCATTATCTGTTTTCAATATTCTGGGTGGACCTATTATAGAAAAAGCAAGAAGGCAATGAGCAATGACATCTTTAGTTGCTTCTCCTGTATGCATAGATGCTGCAAGGAAATGAGAGAAGGTGTCAACAGTAACATGAATGTATTGGAGTTTACCAAAAGGAGAAAAATGAGTAACATCCGTTTGATAAATACAACCACTCTATAAACCACGAGGGTTAACTCCAACAGGAAAAGGGCTAGGCAAATGTGGAAGGCAAGCAGAACATTGTTTAACGATCTGACGTGCTTGTTCATGAGTAATTTTATATTGCAATCTAAGGCTATGAGCATTTTGATGATGCAAGGCATGAGAGGCTTCAGCCTGTTGCAATGGAGTCAGAACAGGAAAAATATTTTGTGTTAGTATATCAGCTCGACAATTTCCTTCTGTTAAAGGGCCAGGCAATATAGAATGAGCCCTAATATGTCCAATAAAAGAAGGATGTAATCTTTTTCGTATTGCTTGCTGTAGGGGATATAAAAGGTGAATTATTGGAGAAGAGTCAGAATAGGTTAAAGGACATGTTTCTGTATTTTGTACCAAGTGGACTACATATTGGCTGTCAGAGTAAATGTTCAAAGGAACGTCCCAATTAGAGAGGACATGTTGAATGGCTAGAAGCTCCACACGCTGGGCTGAAGATTCTGATGTTTTAAAAGAAAATGGATTAGCATCAACTGTGCCTGCTGCTATACCAGAAGAAGAGCCATCAGTAAAAGCTAAATAGGCATGTAACGTAGCCAGTGAAAGCAACTTGCCAGTTATCTGAAAATTGCCAAAGCCATGTTTGTTGAGGAGTATTGTAAGGAATAATAATTTCAGGTGGCTCAATTCCAAATAGAGCTAGGGCCCGAATACGACCCTTGGCCACCAAAGTGGCAACTAAATTATAATATGGAGATATAACT